CCACTAGCCAGCAAGAAGGAAGCACAAACTTTCTTAGTAATTGGATTTTTTTTGAGGATCCATATTCTAGACTAGAGTCACCTTCCTTTCTATGTCACCTCTCTATCAGGTGACATAGAAAAATTTTTTGACAATTTTTTGGACAAGCTAAAAAATAGATTGTTCATTCAGTAGCCCTTGGGCCAGTCAGGATGAGACAGGATGTAAAAAGTGTGCGCTACACTGCAGCCAGGGAGAATGGACCTTCCTGGAATCTCTCACAAGAAGTACCTGGAGAGACTCAAGGACAACCCATGGGGTTCTGAAGTCAGTGATACAAAGGATCCAAGGCATCTTACACCCTGGCTGAAAAAGCATATCTGCTTTTGAAGCTCATGAAGGAGATTCAGGTGCTTCAGAAGTGATTGGTGCCAAAGTATAGCTCCTCCTGGCACCCTGGCTGCCCAGTACTGGTCTGGATATTCAAAGGGAAAGTCCCTTCCAGACCTCATGCCACTGATGCCATGTGGAATAAGTTGGTTGCGCTTGATCATACAGCAAGATCAGATAGGAAATCCAAATCACCAGAAGTAATCATGGACTGGAACAAAAGCAAAAATTTCAGATTATCATCAGAAGCGGAGGAGAAGAGAAGATAGTGGTGGTGTGCTGAGGAGACCTTACCATATTATCAGCTACCTGAAAATGGGAGGCTATATTCTCTATTTATTGACAATTTGTGCCATATCTTATGGATATGTCAAAAATGAAATCTGCTCTGTGGAGTCCTGTATGGCAAGCTGTGAAGTTGATGGAAAAGCTGGATCAAGTCAAGTTGCAGTGCTTGAAGGTGTCCAGCTGGCTTTGGATATCACTGAATGAGAGAAGTGGCCAGTGCTCTATCTCTGCACTGACTCATGGATGGTGGCAAATGCTCTGTGGGGACAGCTGGAAGGATGGAAGAAAGACAGCTGGCAGCACAGAGGGAAACACGTCTGGTCTTCTGAATTGTGGTAAGACATCTCTGCCTGGGTACAGGAGTTGCTGTAAAAGTGTGTGCTGTAGAGTCATGCACCCAAAAGTCAGGCTTGTGAAGAACTTGCAACAGCAGACAATTGGAGGAACTGCCAAGATTGAAGCGTCTCAAGTGGATCTGGATTGGCAACAAGAATTACTTCTGGCTCAGTGGGCCCATAATACTTCTGATCATCAGAGAAGAGATGCAGCACACAGTTGAGCTTGTGATCTAGGGGTGGATCTAACCATGGCAGTATCTCCCAAGTTATCCATGACTGTGAGACGTGCTGAGATCAAGCAGGCCACGAGAGTGAAGCCCCTATGGTATGGTGGGCGGTGGTCCAAGTGCAAGTACAGGGAGGCCTGGCAGATTGACTACATCACACTGCCCCAGACAAGCCAAGGCAAGCACTATGTGCTGACCATGGTGGAAGCCACCACTGGATGGCTGGAGGCCTACCCTGTGCCTCACACCACTGCCCGGAACACCATCCTGGGCCTGGAAAAGCAAGTCCTTTGGAGTTATGGTACCTCCCAGAGAACTGAGTCTGACAACAGGAGTAATTTCAAAAATAGACACCTGGCACAGAGAGTATGGGATTGAGTGGGTTTATCATAGTCCCTCCCTATCATGCACCAGTCTCTGTGAAAATTGAGCAGTGCAATGGAATGCCAAAAACCACATTGAAAGCAACGGGTAGTGGGACCTTCAAACATTGGCATCTACATTTAGCAAAGGCCACCGGGTTAGTTAACGCTAGAGACTCTTGTACTAGAGGCTCTACTATTTAAGCTGGCCCTGCTCAATACAAACCTCCACGTACTGTGGAAGGGGATATAGTCGCTGTGGTAGATATGAGAAATGTGTAAGGGAAGACAATTTGGACTAGTGCTTCCTCAAGAAAAGGCAAACCCATCCATGGGATTGTTTTTGTTCAAGGACTGAGTGCACTTGGATAATGCAGAGGGGTGGGGAACAATGGTGTGTACCTCAAAAGGATTTGCTTTTTGGGTGAGAAGAGTCTGTAATGTTGGTTGCTGAATGATGCCACTATATGCCATAACTACCAAGGACAATGAGTATGGATGCTCCAGATACATTAGTTGTGAGTTCCTCATAGAGCCCACAGTCATGGACTAAATGAACCCAACAGACATCTTGGAGGGACAGCCACTGACTGTGGAAATGATACCTGTGTTTGTGTGTAACCATATACATATGTGTGTAAAGTTGGAAGGTGTAGGATTGGGGCATGATGTAGATGGCATAGCCTAAGGGGTGGATAGTGCTTGGTTTTTTGGCCAGGACAGAATTAATTTTCTCACAGTAGCCGCGAGCGGTCAGTCTGGAGCCCTGTGGGCATGCCTAGGTGGTTGTTCTATGTCCCAAAGGTCACTACAGAGGGCTGGAAGTAAGGGAATTTTGCTTCCATGAAACAGGAGGGGCTTGCAGTCAGGAGGAAAAACATGGGTATAAAGGGTCTGTGCATGGTTCATCATCTTAGGGGCAGCATGGTACCGGGTTCGTCTTTGAGCACTCCTGCATGTAAATCACCTTCTGTATGTATACTTATGTTATTAATATTGTTGCTGTTACTGTTTGTATTCTTATCTCATTGCTGTTTCTAGTAAATTGGTCTTATCTCAAGTTGAGACAGCAGAAAAACACCTGTTGTGTGTTTTTATCACTTCAACAAGTAGTAAAATGAAATGCTAGGCAGGACACGTCATTGCTGTTGCTCTTCCCTGGATGGCATTAGTTTTTCTTTGTGACTGGTAAGGCTGCCATGGTGGAGTGGTGCATTTATTTGTGAGCTGAATGAATTAATTGCAAACAGGATTGTTCAGTGAAGGCTGCCAGAGGCAAGTGATGCCAAATGAATACTTTCAGATGGAAAAAATTCAGATGCGACATCCGGAAGTGTGACATTTGTGTGAGATCTTTTTCTTACTATCTCACTTTTTTACATGGCGTTCAAATGCTTTATTTTCTTTGATGAGTTTACAGGACCTATCCATCTGGGATCAATTAGTACTTTACACTATGAGCTGAACAGACTTCAGATTTTTTTTCTTAGTTTTTCACTTTTTTTTTTCTTTATGATGCTTGGTAGTAAAAATGTTTGTTTTCTTGCCTTTTTGTTTGACAGATAGAATTTTAAGCATACCTTTGGTTTTTGTTCAGGCAGTATTCTCTAAAGTCAGCTTTAACTGTAATTTTTTCCCTACCTTCATTATCCAAAAGTGGCAGTATTACAAAATTAAGAGAAAAGATTTTAAAATAAACTAACAATGACTGTTGTAAAGTAGGTGCACTGAAACTGCTGCTTTTAAGCATGCTATGAGAAGAACAGAAAAAAATGTCTTCTGAGATCATATTTAAGTTACAGTTGCAACAGCTCAAAAGACATTGATGAGATATGTTGGTTGAGGATTTCAGGCTGTTGATAGAGCTTTACTGAAAATCACTGTCAAGTTGCAGAAGCTTCCCTAAGTCAGAATTCCAAGCTGATGCTATAGATTTCCCTCATCTGTCCATAGAAAAATTAGTTCAACTCTCATTTTTTAAAGAAAACAGGAAGCCTGAAGGCTGTGTTTGTTCTTTTACTTTGTGAAGACTGTCTTGGAGAGATGCTGCAGCTCCGTTTTCTGCCCTCCCCATGAGTATAGGAGAAGAAATTTGGAGCACGGAGTGGAAAGAATGAAAGGTTACTAGCCAGAACTGAGTAGGAAAGAATAGGGGTCACTGGAAAGCTATATAAAAATGGAAAAAGTGATCCTAGAGCTTGGAAGATGAGACAGCTACATGTGACGTAAGGCATGTGGGGATGTGTTGAAATGTGAAGCAGGCATTTCAAGATGATGCTTTTTAAGAAGGAGGAATAATTTCCACGGTGGCGTGCAAAGGCTGAGTTTAAATTAACAAGACCAAAAACAAAGACGTAACTGAATCAGAAAAGCATGTGGAGCATAACTTTCCTACAGCACTTATCTGTTCTTTCTTGGCTTGGTAAGTGTTGCCTTTGAAAAAATGAACTTATAGCCAGGAAAGTTACTGGCATTGTCTGTGTAACTATAGCATGTCCTCAGTTTGAAAAATGCCACAGAAGTTTGGAGTAATTTTTGATATGTTTATTGGATATTGGTTACACTTTGCATGAGTAGATTTCTGCCATGACTTGCAGAATAGGAAGTGACAGATGAAGACAGCAATATGTGTCTCTCCAAAATCCTTTCTGTGGTGACTAATTTGTGGGTTGTGTTGTATGTGTCTGGTCTCACTAAGGGAAAAAGCCAGCAGTTGTCTTAGTCTAGAATTTTTAAATGGAATTTTTATCATGGACATTTACAGGGGTTTCCCCCTCCACCTCTTTGCACACAAGAAAACAACATACATATGGAAGCTAAACTGACCTTGATAAACATGATAGCTATGGAGATAACTTCATTCTGTTGAATCAGCTGAGCAAATTTTACAGTTTGATTTATTCATGTACTGCACATCTGTGGCGACCTGGGAAAAAAGGCTGTCATATTTTTAAGTCACAACGTGTAAGCTGTTTTTCTTAACAAAGAAAGTTCATGTGATCACTGAACTGAGGGAATTAATGTATTCTGAAGTCCAGTGAGTAATTCTGTGAATACTCTTTTGTGGAGATTTATTTTTCCTTTTGTTGGGAGGGGGGGGTGTCAAAACAGTTCCAATGTTCTGTAGGTAACCATATTTTCTTGCAAAGGCAAAGCAATCTGTGCATTAGCCTTCTTGCTGATTTCAGTTTGTGTGAGTCTAGTTTGTGTTGTCAAGTGATTTTTTTTTTTCCTATTCTGGATCAAATTCCAGTATACCTTTTGAGACTTCTCCTGCAAATCTGTTGTGAGCAGTCATGTCAGCAAGTGGGGCTGTACAAACCCAGACTAGTTTTGCAGCAGCCCAGGATCTTGGATGTTGGCTGGCTACCCAGTTCTCTTGTTATTCTCAACAGGTTTTTTTTCTTTCCTGTTAGGAGTAAATATCAGTATGACTGCAGTCTGAGGAAGGGCTTCTGTGTTCCTACCAAAAGCTTGCTGGTGCAGAGGAACAGTGCAAGGAGAGCAGCAAGGGCATTTTGAGCTACCATGGATATCCCCACCGATTTGGTGCCATCGTCCATGATGTCCCAGCCTGAAGTGATTGAGGTGAGTACACCACAGTGAAACTCTAGCAGGTGAACTGATTCAACCTCTTTTTCATTTCCTCATGGAATCCTAGCTTTTTCTCCTCTCTCTCTCTCATTTTGAGTAATCAGGGAGTTTTCTGGAAATACTATTTTAAAGACACTCATCACTTATTAAGAGTGTTGTTATACTTTGAGACATGACACTGCTGTGTTATAGTACTCTTTGTAGCTTTTATATCTGAGCTGACATCATATGCCACAGGATATGGCTTTGGTCAGTTTGGGTCAGCTGGTCTGGTTGTGTCCTCTCCCAGGATCTTGCCCACCCCCAGCCCCCTGGATGGAGGGAGGAATGTTGGAGAGGCAGCGCTGATGCTGTGCCAGTGCTGCTCAGCAATAGCCAGAACACAGGTGTGTTATCAGCACCTTTCCAATTATCAGGGCAAAGTGCAGCAGCACTGTGGGAGCTATTAAGGGGAAATGACCTCCTGCTCAGCCAGACCCATTGTAACCTCCACCCCTTATTCCATACCATTTATGTTGCACTCAGATCCCACATAAATAATGTATCTTCTGACTGTTCCTTTGTATTTATTTCTCATTTCTGGAACCCCTTCTTACCCACACACACACCTTAAACTACATCCTTAAACTATCTCTCTACCAAACATACATTTTCATTAACTACTGTCCCCTGCTCTTTGACAGATAGCTATTATTATTTTCCTGTTTCATGGGCTTCATCCCTCCAGATCTTCAGTCCATCAGATGAGTGGTCAGGACAGGACCCAATGGTATACTGGATCACTGAGCACCAACACCAGCCTGGCCTGGTCATTGCATTCTCCTTGCTCCTCACAAAATTCATTCTTCATCAGTTAATGTCACTCCTGCTATTTTACTTCCTGCAACATACAATTTACACCACAGAATGTTTTTTCCACGAGGATTAAATCTCCTTGAGGCACACACCATGTCACCTGATCCTTCCACATTACCCACCAAGTCATTAACCACCAAGTACATCTAGATCATTGGGCAAAGACAATCCCACAAATGTATTCGTCTTAGTGGTGGAGAAACCCACACTTCCCCAGCCACTTCCCTATGTATTGCAGGGACCATATCTCCTCCCACAGTGTGAAGGGATTTTGTTTGGCTAGGGCAAGGGCAGTCAGCAGATCCTTTAGTGTTTACCAGCCAAATGGCTTCTGCTAAATTTGCATCCCAGTGCTTCCATGCCCTATTTACCTAATGGTCTTAATATGGTTTTCAGCAGTTCATATACCTCTGAATCTTCCTAGAGGCTCATGGGCAATAAAGGATGTGATATATCCGTTCAATGCTGTGTTTCTCTGCCCGAGACTTTCTGAGGTTATTTTGAAAATGAGTCCCATTATCTGATTCAATTCCCTCTGGTGTACCATGTTGCTACAAAATGTGTCTCTCAAGATCTGAGATGGCATTCCAAGGTGTAGAAATGGTTTACAGGGCATGCTTACAGCCAGACAGTTGTTGCCTCTGCCATGGTGAGTATGTAGCTCTTGCTTTGGTGTGTTTGTGGCAGTGGTCCAATGTAGTCAACTTGGCAGCCCTCACCATTTTGGAAACCCATCCACCACCCTCTATTCCAAGGAGATTTCACTCATGTAGTTTGCTCGACTGCAGCATGTTTCATATTTGCATGCATCTAAGGATTGTTGTTCAGGACAAATGCCTTCTCAAAAGGAGAATAAGAGCAGCTGTAGTGTGAGAATGAGCAGAAGAAAAGCTATCACTTGTAAGGGATTTGATGATCAGCATGGTCACCTTTCTATTGTGTTCTATAAATGCAGGTATCCTGGGCCTACAGAGAGTTTTCACTGAATAAATTCTGCCTGGACTTAGATCACTAGGCCAAAGACTAGAAATAAATAGGTGATTGTGGTCATTGATTAGTAATATAGAGGTCTCTCTCCACACTCAGGTTTTATAAACTGCTTCAGTGAGATTTGACTTGGGAGCCAAAAATAAATGACAACAAGAAGCAGAGGAAAGACTGGTATCTCAGTGTAGGAGATTGTGGTAGAAAAAATACCATTCTTTCATCCTCATGTTGCAAAAGTAGGCTCAAAATTGGTATCTGTACAAGAAGACTTAAATGATTACATGAATTCCCACAGATTTCAGTAAATCATTGTGGATATAACAGTTTATAAAAGTCTTCAATTGTATATAAATATCTCCAAGCATCTCCAGACAATCTGCTGGGAGCCATCTATACGTTTCTGAGAGTAAGGAAGACCTTTTTAACAGACAAGGACATAGTGAAATAAGTATGTTAAGAGACAATTACTAGATTAAATATTGAAGTAAAGCACTTTTCATATTTGGACTGCATGGGCAGTTTTTGCCTTTCATGTTTGTAATGAATTTTTGGATACAGTTTAGAAAACAACATCGACTAAAATTTTTTTTCCCCCAGAGGACATTATTTTGCTTTTTGAAATTGAGGAGGTGCCATGGTGTGCTGTAGAAGTAATTTAGAGACTAGTGTTTTAAGGAAGGATTTTTTTTTAAACTTGGAAATAACCTTGCATGCCTTTTGCATGAGCTAGACGGCATCTTAGTTGCAAAAGAAGACTTTTGTGACTTTACTTTTAATTTTCTTTATTTTTTAATCCTTATCTTTAAACTTTCCTTTGGCATTGCCAGCATAGTTGGCTTCCTTCACATTTAGTCAATTTAGGCTCAGAAGTAAGTACTACTTATTTTGCATACCTATATATGTATACGCATACATCTTTACACACTGCAGTAATAAATACTCCTCTGCTTATTATCAGTCCTTTAACTTCACCAGGCAAACAAGCTTATTTCCCCTGGGAGAGAATCTCAGAGACCTCAGCAGGACCTTTTTTTTAAACCAGAGCTTCTTCTGATAGGTTTTTTCTTGGACTTCAATCCTACAGCTGCTCATTGTGGCACCGCAATAAGAGAAGTTCCTGTTAATTTAGTGGCAAATGGCATTTTCCCAAGATTTGTCCTCTGAGTCAGGTAACAAAAGGCTCACATTTTGCAAAAGTTTTTGAAAGTCACTTTGGGTACCAGATGTGAAATTGCTAATACTGTCTTAAATATTCTTATGGCTAGTGTGTCAACACGGGGCCTGCTTCTGGTGCTGCTCTACAACCCTCTGTTGAAGCAATGCATTTGCCACAGTAGTGTTTCTTCATACCCTCCCACCACACTAATTTATTCACATCTCCCCTCTTCTTTTCCTCACCCAGTGTCCTGTTACCAGACACAAGAAGTGGTGAGTAAGAGCAGAGGCATCCTGGTCATGTGTAAAGATGAAGGATGAGTAAAGTTTTAAGGTAGTCTACCTGTCCGTAGCTGTGATCTGGAACAGAAAATAGCTAGGGGATAGCATTCACAAAATGTCAAAGAAGTCAATGAAACAAGAAATTTCCCAAATATGCTTTGAGCTTTTTGCCACAGGATTTCATTGTAAGGCATAAAAGATCTCAAATTAATCACAATAAATCACAATCTAGTGACTTCTGATTAGATAAGCTATTCTGGTCTTAAAGAGAGAGAAACAAAATGTAACAGAAATTTATGATTTTTAATTTGGAGATGTTTTGTATACATGTTATGACTTCATATCTCAAATATGGATAAGTAAAGTGATTCCACAGAAACCTGGCTAGTCTGATGATGCATTAAACAAAGTTAAGTAATTCTGTAAGAAGCGTTTAGCATCCCAGAGGGCTTTGCTGTTTGCAAAAAAAAGAAACATCACAAGTGGTGACCCATACTGATGAAAGTATTCTCTGAAGTAATTAGTATTTTCTCTCTTTATGAATGGCATGAGATGAATTCTGCAGTAAAAGCTTTGAAGAAGTAATGATTTGAGCTCAAGTTACTTAATGAACCAGGGACTTCCAACAGTGCCTCAGAAATGCTTTAACAAGAAAGCAACAAAAAAAAATTCATCATTCTCTCTGCTTTTGCCAGGAGTGGATCCTACTAGCCAAATACTCAAAGCAAATGAGTACGTTTAAATAACTGCCTTGCAGCTGTTCCAAAGAGAAATCCAGAGCAGTTTCCATTAGGATGGCCTTTCATGGCCAGAGCCAAGAACCACTTCTCCCATTCTGTGCCATTGAATACATCTCTATTTCTCCTCATTTTGTTTGAATTGGAATGGAAGAGATTTAAGCTATCATTGCCACAGAATGGTTATCCTTCTCATAATATGCTTGAGAACAGGCTGCTTTGAGCTGGCACAGCTGTTGTCACCCCTTTCCCCAGTGAAGCACAACACAATTTGCATTTTGGATTTGGTGCCCAAGTTTCTGCAATCAACAAGTGTGTGGATTTTTTTGTCCCACTTGAGCTGAATAAACAAATTAGCCTTGTTACCAAAACAGACCTCTTGTGGTGGTAAATAGAGCAAACAAAACAAAAGGAAATGGTGAGGCTGGAAAAAACTATTTGTGATTAGAAGTATCACATCACATCCAGTTACAGACATCATAGCAGAAACTAAAATACCAGTACACTTTTTAAAAAAATTGTTTTACTAGATGAGATTACTGGAGGCTCAAAATTCAAATCTGTTTTGTTTAAAGTAGACCAATACTGCCTTAAAGGCAACTGCTCAGTAAAGTGTGAACAAGTTAGTTATAGAGACCCATTGTTTCCAAAGCTCTGAGACAAAGATTTTTCTATATTCTTTTTATATATTTCACAAATCTCTCAATATATCAAAGCAAAAGAAACCCAAATTGTCTAACATATATTTCATTAAACAAAGGTGCTTGTTGTACTTTACTGTATTGTAAATACAGAATAGTCTTCTTATTTCTGTCTGTAAATCTCTATTTTCCATCTCAAAATTAAATTTGCTATGCAATTTGGTTGTAGGCTAAACTCTCCCAAGTGCTCACTTTTTGCTTGGTGAGGATCTATGGGAGGTGTGCCCTGGAGGTGGAAGCAGCCCCAGTGTAGCCCACAGTGTTTTTTTCAGCATAA